ATTGATTAGGTAACTAGACTTCGTGAGATGAATCCAATGGTGAGGTCTATCTTGTCATTCAAGTTCTAAAAAAATTTAGATTTTTAACTCGTATCGTAGTGTGCAAATTATCATTTTACTATTTTTCATAAAAATTCAAATTTATTCGGGTTTTACACAGTCTATAGCTGACATGCGAAGTTGTTTTCTTACGACGTACACGTCACCACCTCCATGGAATTGTCTCGCTTATTAGGAGAAAGACGCCACCTCCACCAAAATTCCTCACCTGATACGATAAATGCGCTTCAATCTGTTATGAAACACCTATAAATTGTTAGCCCATACATAAGGGGACATCTCTCACATCTTATTCACATCTGAGCACTCTACACCTCTTGAGTAATAAAATACTCAAGTCATCCTAGCCCTTCACAATAGACTAGGTCACTTTGACTGAACCATTTAAACTGTGTTTTGCTTGTGTTGACTCGGTATTTATTAATGCATTTAATACTTAACAGGTGGTGCATAAATACATTTTGTGCATCATTAGGTAGGAACAGTGTTATGCTTACCAAATAGTTTATCAAAATTTTCTTATCATATCGAGGTGAATTGTTGGATCAGTAGGTTTCATTCATTATTTTTTTCCAGAAGGGTCCATTGATCCAACCACCCTAATTAATTTAGTAAATACATCATTATTCAGGGTATGGAGAGTTGCAAATGCAGAAGGTGGGAAGTTGCGATTAGGACAAAGTTTTTAAGGGAAAGAGGGAGCTCTGTTTTTGTTTTTTTCAAAATTTTTCTTTATTTCGTATGTAGAATATCAAAAATATCACCCAAGAGTTGCACGTGACAGCTAAATGATATTTTTTTCATTTCTTTTATAAACAGTAGTTAGTGTCCATGGTCAAATTGATAGAATAAAATTTTTAAGGCAATGAGTGACAAACCTCATAGATCATTAGTGTAATTTAACCTATTATTTATTCTTAGATTTTCACAATGAAAAATCTTTGTCGTATATATAAATGAATTTTAAAACAATATATGATTAATAAAACTATACTTTCCAAAATTTTTATGTGAAATGATATGTTGCAATCTCAACCATTTAATAATAATGTGATTGCCTTATTTGTTGGTAAGAATTGTGTCATCTCATTTGAGAAGGACATTTTTTTAAAAAAAATTTGAGCAACGCTCATTTATGATTGTCAAAAGTATATTGGCAAAATGAAAAGAAGAAGAAGAAAGAGTTGAGAAGTCAAGGGAGGCCCTTGAAAATCAAACTTCGATCCCTCGTGCCAATTGTTGGTTGGGAATTGTGAATTTAGATGTCCACTCGTTTCTTAATCCCAATGTTCCAAAAAAAAAAAAATTCCCAATGTTCCACAAGAAGATTAATTTCAATGTTCTAGAAAGACCCATATGAGCAAGCGAAGGGCCCGAGCGCATTAGTAGGGAATGAAATTACGAAATCGCCTTCATTAGAGGAGAACTTTCCTATTCCGTTGCTCCCAAAAAAATAAAAATAAAAATAAAAAGGGTAAATTACACCGTTAGCCCCTAAAGTTTGACAATTATTACACTATCATCCTTGAAGTTCTAATTTCGACAATTCCATCCTCCATGTTACAACATTGACTGACTTTCATCCTTACCTCTAACTGCCATCCAAAAGAGTGACGAAAAATGACACGTAAGCGGCAAATGATGAAGTTAGAAGGGCAATCTAGTCATTTAATGGTCGTTCTCGCCCATTTAACCTCTTCAGCTGCATGAGGATGTTTCTAACGATACAACTGTTCGTCCTTCCTAACTAGGGTTCACTATTGGATTTGGGAATTTCAAATATACAACTGCTTCTGTTGAAATCAAGAGTTGTTTCTCACCTTAGTAGAATTTCATATACTCCTATAATGGCTGGCTGGTTCAATTGTCAATGATGCGAAGAATATGACTTCAATCTAGAATATGGTAAATCAAGGACCATTAAAGCTTCAATAAACCTGTTATTCACTCTTTGACACATCGATTTTATTGGAAAAAATTTGATGAATTAGACGACGTAGTAGTTCTTGCATGCAATCTGTGCTTATTTTATACAACTTTTTTGTTTTATACGCATGTGGTCCCCAGATTTGTTTTATATGCAAATGGTCACAACATTTGATAATTTTGTGGTACCCATTATGTTTTGCAGATCTAGATTTCAAATTTTTTACACTAAAGATGCATCATGATGGGGTTTTTCGAGACAACCCTGTGCTTGTAGAATATGGGATTTGACTGACATCCCTTGCTCACATGCAATCCATGTAATTGTATACAAAGGAGATGAGCTTGAGGATTTTTGTGGATGATTGATATACGAAGGACATTTACCTGAAGGCTATGAGAAGATTATTCATCCAATAAATGGGTCCAAACTATGGGTTAAGTCAAATGAAGTTTCTCCTCTACCTCCATTTCACCATAAGCAGCCAAGCAGACCAAAGAAGCTAAGAAGAAGAGAACTAGAAGAGCCAACAAATCACAATTCAAATCTCATAAAACTGAGAAAAATCCAGATTTCATTAAAGTGTGATGAAAAGAGACACAACAAAAGAAGTTGCAAGGCAAGTTGTGGGACTGCTCAAACTTCTGGGACTGTTCCAAGTTTTGCACAGAGAGTTGTGAATAGGAGTGAAAACATAGCTTCAACATAGAGAGGTGGGTGTAGGAATGGAAAACACAACAACTACTACAACATATGTGAGCAAAGAAAAGGTTGCAAATACAAGTGTTGAAGTTGAAAAAGGTGCTTAGTCACATAGGAAAGGGAAGATACAAGCAAGTTACCACATTTTTTTTTACATGTTTTACTATCCTCACATGAGTATGTGAACCACTTCTAAACTACATTTCATTATATTCAAGTCTGAAGAACTGTTATCCCACCAACATCATCACAACAGTTCAAACCACTTTGTTTTACTCCAAATCTAGCACTATTCTTGTGGAAATGTTAGAGTTTATACAACCCTTGCATTATTTCAATCAATAGCAAAAAAAGGGAAGAATGGAGGGAATCCAGATAATGGTGGTGTGAAGGCAAAGGGTAAAGGGGTACAATATAGATAATGGTGTTATGCTACATTTTGGTCCTATTGAAAGTAGTTGTTCCAATAGTTGTTTTTGCAGACAATGTAATAAAATTGGGTAGCTTGAACATTGTCTATGAACCACTCTTTTGTTTATGTACACCTATTTTGCCTCTTGTATTATTGTTTTTTACACAGTATATTTCACCAAACAAATAAGTAGGTCTTTGGAAAAGAATAGAAGATAACATCATTTATAATTAAATGGTAGAACTTCATTTATAATTAAATGGCACAAATGTCTTTTCCCAATTACATAAACAACACACCCTTCTGGACTAACCAATCAACACATGAGATTCTTAATTTCCTAGTTGATAACCAGGTGCAAGATTACTCTCTTTGTTCTTGTTCACACTTGAGTTCTTCCAGTTCAGCAACACCATCACCCATGTCAGAATCAGCAAGATCCCCAACACCTTATCTCTATGTTGAGTTCTTGTTAACTGTGCTTCCATTCTTTTGATTCTCACCAACAAGTCAGGAATGATGTTCTTTGACCAATTACACATGGGAGGGTTATACCCTTCAAAATACTCAAATCCTCCACTTTGTTACATACAAAAAACAACAAAAAAATTGCCCAACCTTTAAAAAAATTAAATAATTCAAAACAAACCAACTGAAAGTTACCGTATAATTCTCACAGCAAAGGAACCTCTTATCGGGATTTTTATCTATCCACAAAGTAAACATCCTTGTCCTTCTCCCACAATAGCAAGATATACGTTCCATTTTCTTTTTCCTTCGGCTAAATGCTCCCTTGCTCTTCGTCCTTGTCTCTTTTTCTTCATCTTCATCTCTTCCTCTTTGTCAATCGCCTTGCTCTTCGTTGTCTTTAGATTGGTTTCTGGTTGATATGGTTCGACTGTTAGTTAGGGCAACACAACTGAATAGGTTAAATGGGTGCGAAGGCCCATTAAATGACTGAATTTTCCTTCTAACTTCGTTACATGTTATTCACGTGCCATTTTTTACCACTATTTTGGATGGCAATTAAGTGTAAAGATGAAAGTTAATTAATGTTGTAACATAGTGGATAGAATTGTCGAAATTAGGATTTCTTAGATAGAAGTGCAATAAGTGTCAAATCTTGTCAGGACAAACCGCGTAATTTACCCAATGAAAACACAGATGCATTGTAGCAGCAGAAATAAAACCCTTGTACAATCGCATCATCGTCGAACCTAAGGGGTTTCTGTATCCAGCTATCTCTCTCCGCCGCTCTCTCAATACGGTCACTCCCGGAGTCCGCACGCTCAGAGACAACAGAATCCAGTAACAGAAAGACAGAAGAGAGAGAGAGATTAAAGAAGCGGGGAGAGGTAGGAATTGTTATTAAAATTGACAGAAGAGAGTATTGTTGAGGAAGGGGGTTTGCGGAAGACAGAAGGGGAGCAGAATCGCGTATGATAGACCGTGGGAATCTTTGAATCACATATTTGGTTGCTCAGATATCAACCATACTTGCGTGCTTCGTACGGTCTATCCCACGCTAATCTGCATACTCCGCACCACACTCTCTCTTTCTCTCCACACAACCTACTTTTTATTTGTAGATAGATAGATAGATAGATTCCCCCACTCTCTCTTTATCTCTATCAGTGGCCACCAAAGTCACCGCATCTGATCTCAAAGTTAATCTTCGCCACCACCGCCTCAATGGAAGATCTTACTCTTTTCTGTCCCCTGCTTTGCATAATAAGTTAACAACAGACCTCCTCCCATTTACTTGTCGTTTTTATTTTCAAGTATGATTTTTGTTTCCTTTTGAATGATTTGATTTTTTAAACTTCCTTCAATTTATTCATTCCGTCACTGCACTGCTGCTGTGGTGGTTGTAATAATTATATATACATTTAATTAAGAATGGATGATGAGGCTAGGGTTGCAGGGAGCGGCAATCCTCCTCCTCCGCCCTCCTCTTATTGGCTGGATGCCTGTGAGGACATTTCCTGCGACGATTTCAGCCATGATTTGGTTGATTTCGATGTTCCCGAGTCAATAGATGTTGGTACCTCCAATCAGGACAGCAGCCCCGACCCTTGTTTTTTTGGCGGAATTGATCGGATTCTTGACAGCATCAAGAATGGTGGTGGCTTGCCTTCGGTAGTCGATGGCACCGGCAATGGACTTGATCGAAATGGCTCCTGCACTGAACAAAGCTGGTGCTTTCAGAATGAGACTGCTTGCAAGATGCAAATTGAGCAATCTTGTCCAACAGCTGCAGCAGCAAATAATAATCTATCCAATGGCCTTGGTTTACAGCGTAATAATCAGAATATCCTTGTAAGCAGGACATCCATAGAGACTGGCAAGCATAACGGTACTGATAACGGGAATAAGTCCTTAGATGGTAAAGGATATTGTGGTAAGGATCGTTTTCTCAAGGAAATTGGACTCCGCAGGCAAGATACTCGGGGCAGTGACCGAGATTATCATGAGAACGAAGTAAGATATGTGAAAAGGCCTCGTCTTGGTGATTACAAAAATGAGAGGCACCATTCTAGCACAGGACAATATTACCCTCGGGAAAGACCTCCTGGTAGGAAGAGGCTTTGCTATTGGGAGGAGATTGATAAGAGGGGTAGGGATCAAATCAGGAAAAGAGAACGCTATGGTAGAAGGGATGGTAGGGATAGGGATTGGAGAGAAGGAAGGGGTTACTGGGAGAGGGATAGATCTGGTTCAAATGAGATGGTTTTCCGGTTGGGTGCATATGAAGCTGCTAGAAACAGAGAAGGCAAGACACCCTCTGAGAAAAACCATGAAGACAATGGAGGAGGGGAGGAGAATAAAACTGAAGATCCCAAGGAGAAACTTCCAGAGGAGCAGGCACGCCAATACCAGTTGGATGTTCTCGAACAGGCTAAGAAGAAAAATACTATAGCTTTTCTTGAAACAGGGGCAGGGAAGACGCTCATTGCTGTACTCCTAATAAAAAGTGTTTGTAATGAATTGCAAAAACAGAACAAGAAAATGCTAGCTGTATTTTTGGTTCCTAAAGTTCCGCTTGTTTATCAGGTAATATTCAGAGCAGTGACGTATTTTTCGTGTTTTATTGTGACCTTTTTGCTGTCCATCAACTGCATATTGAATTGATGCTACATTACTGATGCAGCAAGCAGAAGTTATTCGTGAGCGAACAGGTTTTCGAGTTGGCCATTATTGTGGCGAAATGGGGCAAGATTTCTGGGACACGCGGAGGTGGCAGCGTGAGTTTGAAACAAAGGAGGTTGCTTCGAACTTTTTCTTAATAGTTACATTACTTTTTCTTTAATCTCTTGCATACTTGTCTTCATCATTCAAAAATTATCTTCCTTCTAGCTATTGATGTCTTGTTGCTCACGTGTTGACTTGAGCTTAAGAGTGTTGAGGCATTTGTTTAATGAGGTTGTTTATTTTTGTTTTATCTATGTTTTTACCTTTTGTCATCACACAGCCTTTTAAGCTGAAACTACTCGTGATGTTTGTTCTCTGTTGAGTCAAACATAACCATTGCAAGGCAAAATAAATCATTTTTTAATGCAGACATGGAAAACAATGTTGTCGTTGCTTTGCTCTTTTATGCGTTAAATGCAACATTGGCTACTTGCCCTTTTGTTTTTCTTTGGTGATGATCTTTGAGATCATATCAATGACTTCACTTCTCTCTGAAAAAGTTTCTGACAATCAATTGTGGCATCTTTTACATGCTCTTTTTTCAATAAGAAACAACAATTTCATTGATATTCAAAGGAAAAGGATTACAAAAAACAAAACAGAAGTGGACAAGTAGTCCAACCAAAAAAAGCATACAAAATTACAATCAAATAGTTGCTGTCCAATTCGAAGTAATGCAAAAAAGAATAGTATTCTCTAACTCCTTAGTAGCGGATGCCCAAAAAGAAGCCAAAAAATGCATTCGAAAACATAAAGATTTGACCTCCTCTCCTCTTTTGAAGTACTTCATTGGTATTTATCTTATGGTGAGCAATTATCCATGCACAAACTTACACTTTTAGAATGCTTTGGCATTCCAAATCTTTAATGATGGAGGAAATAATGGAAAAGAGAAATTATCAACTAAGGACTCAAAATAAGATTTACAAGGGAAAATACCCAAAGAATCACACTTCCAAACTCTTTTATCCAAAGAATTTGGAATCAATGCAACACCATTGAGCATAGAAAGAAGTAATAAAAACTTCAAACATTCTTACAAAATTCAAAATCCTAATTAACTGGAAAAGATGACGATAATGCTACGGATGTGATGGTCTTCCCATGATAACTAGATAGATAATAAAGACGAGGAAATAGACTAGAAAAATGAAGTTTCCTCCTCCAAATATCCTCCCAAAATTGAACTTTGGACTCATCTCCCACAATGAACTTGACCCGTTGAGAAAAATTAGGTAATCCTTGAAAAATGAATTTTCAAGACTCCGAAAATTATCTCTTTCTACTCACTCCATTGGCATCCCACCCATTTGTTTGTAAAACATATTTGCTCTTAATAAGCACATGTTTATACCATTGGCATCCCAGACAACTTTTACATGTTTGACGTTTAAGAATTAAGAGCTAGGTTCACTTCAACCAGGATATGTATTAAAACTAAAAAACAGTAAAATTAGATATGAATATTTTTGTTGATGGTAGATTAGCACGAAAAATAGATAAATTAAAAGAGAATCGACTTACATTTGGACATGTATATAGATGACCTATTACTAGAACAGTTAAGAAGAAGGGTGTGGTACCTATTGCGTGTAATACGAGGACTAGAGTTATACAAAAATTAGTGTTAGATGAGATAGTAAAAAAGGATATGATGGCATGTGGTGGCCGGTGAAGAAGGGTAGTGTGATACCTATTGAGGGTAACGCAATGGCTAGAGTAACCACAATTAACATTCAATGACATGGTAAAAGAAGATATGGTCTTTGATAGTTTAGAACTGCAAAAATTCATATAAACAATCTCAAATACTTGGAATCAGGTTCTGTGAAGTTGAGTTACTCATTTAAGCTTGAAAAATTCTTGTCCACATATAAATTAAATTAGATTTCATGGCTAAAAGTTTCAGGTGACTATTTTACGTTGTATCTACAATGTGAAATAAAAATAAGTATTGAAATGCACGTACTTTTGAGATGCATATGCTATTACTGGCTTTCTTGTTGTGATCATGAAATTTTGAATTTGAAAAGTAATACTAGTGCAAATGTTTGTCATTTAATAGTTGTCTTGTCTTGTTTAAATCGTGATTTTTGAGCATTGTAACATTTTAAATTAAGACAGTGTCTTATAATTTATAAACACTTTAGCACTGAAAAGATTTAATTCAAACATCTTAAGGTGACTCTATATTAATAAACTTCCTCTACCTGTATGTTATCAAACTGTTGTAGAGCATGCCGTGAAAGGGAAGGTGAACTAGGAATTCCATATGGAACCTGATAAATTTATGTAATTTGAATTTTATTGTGTGCCAATAATAGTGTTTTCTGCCCATATTATTTGTTCATATATTTATTGATTCTACTTGAAAGGGTCTGTGATATTTTTATTGTTTGTAGTAGCGTCCACGTAGAAGGTGGGGTTGTCTTACTTTAGATCAAGTTCTGTTGCTGGGTCTACAACGTTACCAAGAGTCAAAGTATTGAAGTTTTATTTAAGAGTCTTGATCCTTGTAAAAGTAGAACTACACCAGCACACACATGTGTTTATGCGTGGGTGCATATATGTAGATATATTAGGTGTTTCAATGGATCAGATTTGTTTAAGAAAATCCATCTAAGTCACGAGTTTTGTTCGAGACTCTTTTGCTTAGTTACTCTCTCGCCTATCAGAATACACAGCGCCCCCCTCCCTCTCCCCAAAAGAAAAAAAAAAAAAAAAAAAAAA